CCAGTAATCTTTGATGATTCCCTTATATCCCATTGGTGGCTCTCAACCGACGATGCTATCGCTTAGGGAGTATTTGGAAAAATTTTGGTTGTTAAAGAGTCATTGAAGGGAGGGCATTTGGTAAGCAGGGACCAGGGAACCTCAGCACTTGTTCAATGCATAAGACATTCCCTCATACTGAGAAATTGTTTCTCCCTAAATGTCAGGTGTGTCCTTGTTGAGAAACACTCTTCTTAAGCAAAGCTCTAGTCCTGACATAGTTGTTTCCTTTAATTGTAAAGACAGTGCTTCCTCCTAATAAAATGATATGTTTTTCAACAAATTCTTATAAAATCTGTTTGTCTTTCCTGAAAACTATTATTCTAAAATTCTACTTAGAATGATAACTTTAAACAGGAGAGTAAGACTAGCTTTCAAAATGGTTTCTAAGTCTTAATACCAAGTTTTTTAAAGTTTATTTACTTATTATTAAATTTACTTATTTTTATTCCCAAATTAGGCTCATTAATGCCATCAATCTTCAAATTAGTTAATTATTTTGGTGGCTATAAAACTGAGGTTAAAAAAAAAGGTTGTGCTTGAAATCTAATATAAAATTTTCTTTTTTTAGCAACTCACAAGGAAAAAATTGAGAAAAAAGAAAAACCAGAAACAAAGACAGTGGCAAAAGGTAAACTATACTTTTTACTTTAAAGGATTACATTTCGGGTAACAGATAGCTAGATGATTTTCAGCATTCAGCGTTTCCTTTGCATAAAATTAATCTTGACTTACATTTAAAATAGAATATCTAGAAATGTGTTTGGGACTAAGCTGGCTATGTTCCTTCTAAGTGTGTGCACTCCCCTCTCTGGGCACTGGCACCTCCAGCCCCGAGCAGAGCAGTGCTGAGCGAGAGGGGCTGGAGTGTGCGCTCAGCACTGCTCAGGGTGTGGGCTGGGGTAGCGCTGGTACCAATCAGAAGTCTGGTCCGCTCTTTATCTGCTGCCTCCATCAGTGCCAGTTAGGGCAGCTCTCACCCCATGAAGATGAGCTGGCTTTATCCTTTACAACCATGCAGTGCACTCTCCTCAGCTGGGCAGCCTTTGCCCTAGTGTGGAACTGCACCGCAGAGCAGCATGACCAGAGTGGATGCTCAGTTCAGGCTGGGCATGAGCAGGGTGGTCACTGGAAATCAGCTAGAATCTCAGTCAGTGCAGTCCGCATCCTCTGCTTTGTTTCAGGAGTCAGCAAGCATGTGTGTGCTCTTCTCCAGCACAGTCTAGGTTTCTTACAGCCTCCTGTCAGTCCCACTGGTTTTCAAAGCTAAGAGGACTCATGCTCCTAGTGTCAGATCCCAAGACTAGGATGACAAATATGTGTTTCAAACTTCTCCCCAAGGAGGGCATCTCCCAGCCTGTGTAATCCTGCTCTTTTTCCGTGTCCCCTCCTAGGGATGCAGGTCCGACCTAATTGCTTCTCTTCCCTTCCTACCTGATTTCATGTGTCTCTTTCTCGGAGCCTTGGTTGTAAAGGAGTCTTTCTGCCAGTTTATTTTCAGTCGAAATTGCTCCACATGCAGATGTATTTTTGATGTGTTCTTGGGAGGAGGTGAGCTCTGCATCCTCTTTCTCTGCCATTTTATCTCCTCCTCCCTCCTCACATTTTAAAATACAGGTTTTATGTCATCACTATATTTTAGAAACTCAATCTAATATTTTCAAGGGACTAAGCATTTTGATAAAAATTGGAATCTATTTTCAAAAATGTTTGTGTTTACACAATGTAAAATAGATATTTGAGGCAGATTTTTTTTTTGCTAAATTGTTCCATGAGATAACCAAATATCATTTTATTAAATTAAGATAGATGAATGGAAACTTAAAGCTAGTAAGGATGTTAGTGATTATCCCAATTAACTACCTAACTTAACAGATGAAGAAACTTACCTCCAGGGAAAGAAAAATATTTGGCCAGATTTGGCCAGATTACAACTTGGCCAGATTATAAAACTAGTATGTAATTGAACTAAGCCAAAACCCCAAGTGAAGTGAGTATAAATCAAGCATTCTTTCCAAAGTTAATTAAATAAAGTTCTTCAAGCAGCAATTATTTCTTCAAAATATTTATTTAATAATGTATTAGTTATTTCTTGATGCATAAAAAATTACCGCAGATTTAGAGGCTTAAATCAATACACATTTATTATCTCATGGGTTCTGTGGGCCAAGAATCTGGACATGATTTAGTTCAGTCTTCTGCTTGATAGTCTCTCACAGGACTGCAATCAAGGGTTAGACTGGACTGCAGTCCCATTTGAAGGCTCAGCTGGGAAAGACTACTTCCAAGTTCATTTAAATGATTGTTGGCAAGATTCAGTTCCTCAAAGTCTATTGAATGAGGGTCTCAGTTCTTTCTGGCAATTGGCAGGAAGCCATCCTCAGTTCTTGCCACATGAGTTTCACTAATATGATTGCTGGTTTCATCAAACATAACAAGAGAGAATCAGCTAGCAAGATAGAAATAACCATCTTATGTAAACTAATCATGGAAGTCACATACTATTGGTTAACAGCAAATTCCTAGGCCAGCCTGTGTTCACAGGGAGAGGATTATCCAAGGGTATGAATACCAGAAGGTGGGGATCACTGGGGTTGCCATCTTGAGTCAGCCTCGTCTGCCAAAAATTATGAATACTTAATAAGAATATAAGTAAGAAAGAGAGGAAGTTAAATAGTTGGCAGTTCTTTAATGAATGAAAGTTGAAATGGGTCATTTCTTAACTACAAAAATGTATAGTATGGTAGTATGCTTATTGGGTAATGTGATTTCCTCAGTTTGACTTAAGGATTTTGATTCTGATACAGATGCTAATGAGTAATGCTAATTCCCAAAATTAAATCAAATATGCTGATGTCATTCCTTTGATTAAACCATTTTGTTTTCCATTTCACAGAAGTCATAAATTGTCTTCCTAAATTGAGCTGGGTGGTTTGAATATAATATGACAATATTTTTTGCTTTTTTTGTTCCTTAATAAACTCCTAAGTGCACTTAAGTGTCACTTAAAATCTTTTTGAGAAGAGTCAGGAAAAGTATTTTCACACAAAATTTTTAACACCTACCCAGTTTGATAAAAATAAATAGGAGTTGAGTGTTGTTTTAGTTTTATGGTATTTTCTGCATTATATCCACATTGTTGTTGAGTTCTCATTCATTTTTGTTTTAAATGTGAGGCAACTTTATATATTTCAAAGATGAAGATCACTAAAAATGTCTGAAATAGATAGGAAACTTTTTTTTTCATTTTTATACTTAAAACCACTGATAAAAACAAGTTTGTTTTAGATGCAGTCTTGTGTTTAAGAAAATTACCTTTATTCATTTATAAATTATAATGGCACTGAAAGTAGATCTCAATTTCACAGATCTTTAATTTCATAGTACAAAGTGAAGGTTAAATCAATTGCTACCTGCAAGAAGTGGGTAGGTGTCACTTAGGGTAACTAAATAGCAATTTCACATGTAAAAAAGTATAAACAAACAAACAAACAAATAAAACAGTTGACAAATTTTCCAGATTTTGTCAAGTCCATTTCTAAACACATATCTACGTATGTAATCTATATGTCACTGTATTGTACACATGATCTAAATAGAGTGAAATACATAAAGTAAAATATATACTGTTTTCTTGATCAAAATTAATTCATAAACATTAATTTCCTGTTTTCTCTGAAAAAAGCTCTGTGCTAGACATTATGTTGCTACAAAGTGAATAATATAGTTCTTCTCCTCAATTTGCTCTCAGTCTGGTAGGGAAGACAGTTATGTGAACTGCCATCTGTGGTACAAGATACATGGGAGGGAATAACACGTGTGCTTTAGTGAAAGCTGAGACAAATCTAAGCTCAGGTGAATAAATGATTAATTTCAGTGGCAGAACCATTTGTTATACAAATGGACTTATACATCTGGAAAATATGAAAAACATAGACAATATAGCTTGGCAATATTTGACATCTGGAAAATATCTGAGATTTTAAAAAAAAGGAGAGTAATCTATTGGAGGAAGAAACTTTTGGAAAGATGCTATAAGAAGAGAGAAGATAAAGCCAGGTATCACAGGGTATTTTTGTTGCTGTTTTTTTAAACAATATCATAGGGTTTTAAAATGCTATACTTAACATTCTTCAGATAAGAATACTATCCTGCCAATCTTCAGAGCTCCAGCAACCTGCCCTGAGCCTAGGCCATGAGTGGGCCTATAGGAGGGTTTGCTAGGTGAATGTGTATGAGTTGTGTGAGTCTGAGATGCTGTTGACCATCTCAGAGGAACTTTCTCTCCAGGCAGAAACTAATAAATATTTTGGTGTGGCATCCGGGAATGATGTTGATTTAAAGTCATTTGCAGAGAGCTGATGGTTTCAGTCATAGAAATGAATGGGTCTCTTGTAGGAAAGAGCAGAAAGGAGACTTAGAACAGGTTTAAAGGGAGCAGAAGAACATCCCTAATTGATTGTAGTCGCAGAAGCCACAAAGATGTTGGAAGTTTGTGGAATAATAGGGTGATTTTTTTCTATGGGAGTTTTATGGTCAGGTAACTTTGGGTAGTGGTGAATAGCATAATCTCTCTCCTTGAAGATTCTTAACACACTTTAGCTTTGAGAAATTCGACAGTCAAGAAACCAGTTTAGCTTAGTGTTTCTGAATGTATTTGATCATAGAAATATCCCCCAACCGCTAAGATAGCATCAACAGCTCCCTGCAAAGTTTCTGAGAGCAGCGCTTTGGGAGGTGTCAGTCCGTTCAGTTAAAGGCAGTTCCACAGATGATTTTTGTTTTGCAGGCATCAGACATTATCACTTTCATTCTTCTCTTTACAGGACTTCATAATTTTATCATGACTTAGTCTCAAATCATTGTTTAGTGTACTAAAATCAAGAAACTTGATTATAGTATTTTCATCAAATTCTTCAGCATGAGTGACAATAAAGGCTACCCATTACGTGGGCAAATGACATGAGAGGGTCCAACACTGTAGTAGACTTACTTTGATGTCTAGTGATTACATGTGATCCTGTGGAATAAATTATGTCTAACATGTAGCCTTTATTATAACCACATTTCACAAATGTGTCCTATGTAATATTATCACTTTGTTTAAACATTTAAAAGATTCACAGACTGATTAGTTCACATTCCCAATTCCCTTCCCCTAAAACACATCATAATATCAAATTAAGAATGTGTATGTACAGAATGTGTACATATATATATAAGTCATATATGTTCATATATATTCTAATTTATATCTTTTTCTGTTTACTAGGATATATTTAAGGGCTTTGAAAGTCACTAGAATTATTACTTTTGACTTAAGTTAAATAGGAGGCAACATCTCAATTTCGGCTCTCTTTTCCATCTCTTTAAAGTCAAATTGTAGGAGACTATGTCTCTGAGTTATCCTTTAGTGGATTTTATTGTTTGGTTTCTGTTAATCATTACCAGTGGAAGTAATTTTGCATTTGCATTCCTAATGGTTATCTTTAAAAAATACTGTGTTAATGATTCAGTTTCTTGAATGACTTTAAAGATACTTCAGTTGTGGAACAAACTGATCATATCCTTTTAAAAGGTCTGTGTCATTGGGCTTTTGGGAATGGGCATTGCCTTGCACTGAACACACCAGCACATACATCCCCTGCAGAGTCCAAATGCCTCCTTGTTGGTATACTAAGCTCCTGACTACCTAAAAAGAATATTTTCATGAACAAATTAAGAAAGAGCCCAATTTACAAATGAGCTTCATTTTCTTAGTACTCTAACAGGCTGCATTATAAACTACATAAAAATCAAATAATAGTCACAAGTATTTATGTCAGAGACACTGTACTTTAATTATTTTTCTTTTCCCTTTCTTTGAAAATTGTTCTTAATAACCAGTGAGAGATGAAATGCTGCATTGTTAAAAAAAAGAAACAAAACAAAAATAATTCAACTTTTATTTAACGCCATACAGAAGAGAAGAAAGCTAAGACTAAAGAAAAGACTGATGAAAAGACTAAAAAGGAAGTGAAAGGTGCAAAACAGGAGAAGGTGAAGCAAACAGCTGCAAAAGTAAAAGAAGCATCTCCGAAGCCCAAAGAGAAGGAGAAAGACGCTGCGGCTGCGTCCAGGCACGAGCAGAAAGGTAAACATGCAGAGGAGGCGGCCAGAGGTTCTAAGAGAATGTTGGGCAAGAAGCAGATGCAGTGAAATTAAAAACTGCCACGAGATCAGACTTCCAATGGGAGTAAAAGACTTGTATGAGTGAATCTACCTGAAAGGAAATATGATAATTTGGGAATTGAAATTTATCGATAGAAATAATACAATGTGTTCACATATCTAATATGAATTTCAAAGCATTTTAAAGAGAAGATTTGTTAGTATCTGAAGTTATTTAAAAGTTGAGGACAAAGGTTGAATTCTTGAGATTTCTGTTAAGTGGAACAAAAATTGTATGTGTCCTACTCTTCAGAGAACAGCAAACCAGGAAAACGACAATTCTCAAGAAGTTTATTAAGGGGTGCATGTTCCAATCATATAGAATAAGTGTCATAAAAACTATCCATACATTCCTGTACCTCGACAAGGTTACGTAATTTATAATATACATCAAATTATTAAATTAAGTTTGTCCAATGACTAAACTTATGACTTTGAAAGCTCCATAACTGATGTACTGTACGGCTCATCAATAAGAGTGATGTCCAACTTCCATCCCTACTTCACAGAAATAGAGCATTTACATGGAGACAGAATGTAAACCTGAAAGTCTTTAAGGAAACATGTTAGGGAAATGGAAAAGGGTGGTGTTTTCAGAGGTCAGCTGAGGGCCTTATTGTCCCACATGTCTAGCCCTTCTTGAATCTTTCCTTCCCTGAATCCACTCCTGGCCCCAGGTTGCTACACAGCCCTGAGCCTCCCTATACAGAATGTGGACTCTGCTCTGTACGGACTATTCCTATACATGTGTTTCAGGGATGTGGCAAAATGAAAGTTTTCCTTATTCTGCTGGTTTTAATCATTTTATTTGAGGACTAAAACTAAGGAATGGTTTCTATGAGATTTTCATTAAAACATTTAAACACTTTTGTTACTGAGTAAGATATTTGGACAGTGAAACTGAAAGTAATTTTGCCCATTGTAAGTTATAAGATATGAAATTCACAATCCACACTTTTTTTGTTTTAGATTCCACATTCAAGTGAAATCATATGGTATTTGTCTTCGCAACACACTCTTGCATTTTATCCTTGAATTACTTTTCCCCTGAATTCCCACAACTGATATTTAGAAACTTTTATTTATTTGATAAAAAGGTGTATTTTCTGAAAACGTATTTTTAAAAAGGAAAGAAGGAGGTAAAGAAGAAAAGATTTTTTTTAAGGAATCCATAAAATTTCTAATTTAGGTAATTTTCATTTATTTCAAAGTAATTTTTAAAGATGTGAGTGGAATTAAAACTTTGGAGCCCAAAAACCTTTTTTAAAAATTTTAAAGATGATTATGTTGCCTTCAATCTATTAAAATATTAATTATAACATCTCATAAAGCTGTATATTATTTATAAAACATTTTAGGTAAAAAATATAGTAAGTAAAGAGAAAATATTTTGAATGGACTACTTCATTGTGATAGAAGACAGGAAAATTAATCTTCTGTTCACTGACATACTTATTTAAAATGATTATCAAGATCCTAAAATACTGAGCACTTTAAATTGCCTTTTAAAATAGAAAATAATCACATGAAACCAGTTGAAATGTACCAAGCATATTTTTATTTTTATCCATAAATACAGTATGTAAAAATTCATTCCAGTTATATATGAGAGTACCAAAAATACGTATCTAGCAACTAGAAATATGAATATACTTTTTGATGTTCATTTTTAGTATCTTCATTATTTTTGGGCCATATTTTATTGATGAAGGCACACTGCTAGAATATTTCCAAATCATGTCTATTTTCTGGATCACCTGTATTGTATTTTATTCCTATCAGTAATCAGAATTATTGAAGATAGTATTATATTACCATTTCCATTTTCAGCCTACTATTTTCATTTTCACATCAAGGGCTATTTATCTATTAAACGGACATTCAAATATCACTTAGAGATAGAAACAAAAGCACAAATGTGATCTTATCAGCTAAACAAATGCATTTGCTAAATGAAGGCTCTCCGTTGAGAAGAGCTACCATCAATTAGATAAATGTATTATTACGTAAATAATGAAAACTTGACCTCTAATAACTGATCAGACACATAAATATGTCATTTAAAAAAATTAAGCAATGATTTAAGAGCAATTTATTTATAAAAAGCCTAATCACATTATAGTTTTAACCCAGACATGATAAAGACATAGTACTTTTAAAATAATCCTACCTGTGAGATGGCTTCGATTTTGAGACTCCTGTATTGATGACAGTAAATTATTGAGTTCTTTCTCTTTTGGGCAAGGGATTATTTATTTGCTTAGCATAAAATAGACCTAGTGAATCTGAGTCATTCTTTTCATACAGATTTCTAACAGTTCTTTTTAAATGAATAGGGACTACAGGTTTTTTACTCACTGGAAACAGATTTTTACATGGAGCACATACGCTTAGTGGCAATTATTTAATTATATAGTACACATGCATATATATTCACATGTGCTTATTCTAAGTATTGTGTGTATAAATATATACAACTGTATACATACAATATGTATTACATATACAATATATTCCTACTTAATCAAAAAAAATAAGATTCAGATATCCATACATGCTTCCTGCAAACTTACATGTACACTTCTATGTGTATAAGTTTTTATGGACCAATCTTAATCTTTTTAAAGAAGGAGCAGCATGATTAAGCATTGCTCTCTGATTTCCTGATGGTCTATGGCAAATTTGTGGGGAAGGGAAAATTCAAACCTCCCCACTGCTATGTTCATTCTTTCTTTTCTTTCTTTCTTCTTCTCTTTTTTTTTAAACAACTATCTAAATCTTTGTGGCAGGCAGAGAAATCGTAGCTAATGTGAATCTGCCACTGAGCACCAGACCACATATGCCCCATTCTCATTAGAGGTTTCTTAAAATTTCTTTTCTGTTCACATTTCTGCACCCTGAATGCACTTTCTCGCAGCTGCTACTCCACAGGGAACACCGACAAGGCAGCAGCTGAGTGACATCCATCACTGCTCCCTGAGGATCAGGAAAGGGAGAAATGGATAGCATGTGTTATTCCTAGAAGGATGTTCATTTGAGGGGAAAAAAAAAATCCTAAGAAGTGGTGGCAAGATACAAGTTACCTTATGTGAATTATTGTCACATAACAATGAAAGAATGATAGAATTGTTCAGATTTTCTTTAGGAAAAATTTCCTCTTTTAATATTAGAGTTGAATTTAAAGAAACATCTTTACAAAATGAATTTTTCAAAATCAAGGAGGTTTGGTTTGCTTTATCCTTAGACAGGTGAAGCAGACACACTGGGGACTGCCCAACATACACCTGCCTAGAATTCTTACACATTATCAAAGTCAGCACCCAGGATAAGTGGAAATGGGCATCCTGATTAGAAACATTTAAAAATTCTTAGCTTTAAGTATGTAAAAATACTCTCTCATCTTCCTATTGAAATGTTGATGCCATCAGAATGCAACATCAGAGGATCATTTAAACATAACAGAAACTTCCTAAGTGTTATAACTCAATTTTCTAGATTGAAAAAATAGATGTTCTTTGAGTGCATTAGAGATTCTCTTTTTAAGTTGGAAGCTTATGGGACTATTGGCGCATTAATTAAACAAATGACATTTGGATTCAGAAAATACTGGTATAAAAAACATAAGCATGTTACTTTGGTAATAATTTAACATATAGTTTCATTTCACTATCAACATTCAGTTAAAGAACACTCTCTGGAGCATGAAGATCTTACTTAATTCAATAAACTGTTCCACATGTTGTGCATAAACATCCCATCACAACTTGGGGCAGAGCACAGTGTTTCATTTTGGGGGGTTGTCCAAACACTTCAAATTCTAAATAGTCCCTGCATGCTAAACTTCTAATGTACATATTTTCTCCACTGCAATAGTACCACTAGAAATAATTGTGAAAAAAAATTTTTTGAGCTATTTTTAGATCAGTGATGGTGAAAGTATGGTCTAATCTGATTCCTCAGGGAGTCTGTTAAAAATGCATATTCCTAGGGTCCATCAAATTATAGGTTTTTTGGATGACTGGACCAATACATCTGCATTTTAACAAATTCCTCACCTTTTGATATTTAAATTGCCCTTTAATAACTATTTCTTGAATTGTAGGAAGGGCACATCTAAAGTGATCAGTCACGTTAGCTACTGAAACAAAGGAGAGAGCCTGCCAGTTTTAGCAAGTTCTCACTTGCTCAATTTCAAATTTGCCACCTCAGAGAAATGCACTTTTTCATCTTGCTTTATCTTAGAGCTAAATGGCTCATTCCACAATTTTGCTCAGAATAAAGTTTATGTCCAGAAAAGGGAAAAAAATCTCTACCTCAATCTCTTCTGCATCATAGAACTCCCAGGTCCTGGGATCAGAAACCCCCATTATTACTAACAGTACATCCAGGAGCAAATAGATCCTTGAACTGATCTGAGAACTAACTTCCCTCCCACTCCCTACCTCACTCGTGGGAAAATGTGTTCCAATTCAACAATTGAAATCCATGCAAATTTTTGAAACTTTTGTGAGTTTTTGCCTACTCATTTAGGTACAAATGAAAAGAATTATTTTCACATCTGCAATAACTGTATCTGTTTTTTTTCAAAGGTCTGGCAGAGTCTAATAATAAAACGGATTACCCTAAAAATACTGTAACTACTCAAAAATCAATGAGGTTTACAACAGTCCTTGTATGTGTATTTATATAGTAACAAGTCTTGTTATTTTGCAGGTTTGATATACATAATTTAGAGCACTTAAGGGTATGTCGTGTTGTATAAATTCAGTAAACACTCTTGGTCCTAAAGCTGTATAGATTTTTGAATTAACAAGATGCCTATTTAAGAACATGAAAATGTAAATCATTTTGAACAAGATTCATTTAATCATCCACAAGCTTTAAAGAAGATGTGGTCAAACTTACAGAATGATTCAACTGGAATTAGAATTGGAATGACCTCAGCAGAATCCAAAGTTACTTGAAAATTTAAATTTCAGTGCAATGTCTTTAATTTAGAGGGAAAAAAAAACTCCTAAAATCATCTTTGACTAAGTCTGTCCAAACCACTCAAATTTAATGCTTTAAAAAAAAAACTTTTTCCATGGACCATAAACTAGATCAGAAGATGATCTTCTAATAAAGATTACTCAGTCCATTAGCTTAGTAATGATATTTGATCTGTTCTTCTGGATTTACTCTTCTAATTGAAGAGAATCTTCATGCAGATCTCTGACAGGTTGCGGAGGGGTTAGCCCTCTTGCTTGCATTTTCAAGAAACTTGCTGCAGCTTTGTTGCCGAAAGATCAGCCCCTGTCCCCGACAAGCCAAATAACTCAGAGCCCAGGTCTTGGAGCTTAAAAGAAAAGAGGCAGCTTCACTGATTTGCCGGGCAAAGGGAACTCACAGCTGGCTGGTGCCTTCAAAACTGTGAACCCATCTTGGGGGTGGGGCAGGGTGATTATATAGCCATAGCTCAAACAATAAAGCATCGATAACAATCAACAGAATTGTTTTTCTTTTTTTCTCATAAGACTCAGAGTGGCATCTTGGGGTCTCCAGGTGACCGATTCCGTAGAGCTAGTGGTTGTTGCTCTTTTAATCTCTTTATCTTGTAAGTGCCCAAGATGTGGTCTTCTTGGTAATTCAGGCTATTTTGTAAGGTTACACTCCCTTGACTTTCTCCCTGGAGATCAACTCAAGAGATCAAGCATGATTATTACTTTCAATTACTGGAATAAAGTGGAAACAGTAAAATTAATAGCTTTATTTTAACGATGGGCCTGAAGCTGTGAGTAGTAACTGGTCAGCCAGGGTAGTTGACCGTTTTAAAGACAAGCATAAGAATAAGCAATCTGTTAGCCTAAATGCGGCCATTTTACTCTTCCTCCTTCAGCTTCATTTAGACAATCAGCTGTAAAAGTTGTATTTTATTATTGGAAGTATGTATAGATGGACAATGAAAAAAATTGCATGAAGGTTTTGATTTTTAAAAAACAACCAATATAATATCACTCCAAACTAGTCTGTTCAGTTTTTAAGGTTATTCTTTTTATATAGAATAAATGGAAACATGTTCTGTATGTATTTTTCCCCTTGTGTGTTATTATGTGTGTAAATTATTCCTTCACAGAAGATACTGTAGTAACCAATATAGAATCATGCCATTGTGTTTATTTTGTTAAGTCATTTTTCCCCTAGGAAAAAAGAAAGGTGTTGATGACATTTTTTTTCATTGCTTTTTTTCTTTCTGCTTTTATCAGATCAGTATGCATTCTGTCGATATATGATTGACATATTTGTCCATGGGGATTTAAAACCAGGTATTCCAAACAATCCTTGTATATGTCTGCTTTAAAAGTCTTCTTTTCTAAGATTGTCTGCTTTTTATGTACTAAACTGTTATTATCACTTTTGAAAAATTACATAATGCATGTGTAGATCTAGAATAAAACCAGTAAAAAGCAGAAGTAATAACTGGCATTAGAGCCTTTAATTTACTTTCTATGACTGCATGGCCTGTTGCAAATGAAATCAGTTGAAAGCTAAAAATATGCTAATATCTTTATATACAAAAAATGCTAATATCTTTAATAATATCTTGAAGTGAAGAGGTGAATTGTCTTATTTCATTCTTGGTAAACTTAGAATAAAAGACCGTGACAATGAAAGCATTCTTCTTTTTTAGTAGTGAACAAAATTCATATTAAAATCCATTGCATTTCAAATATTAAATCTTTTTTTTTCCTCAAAACTTTTTGATTTTCCCACTTACCAGTGAATTTGGGTTACCACTCTAGAGAAGTACTATTGATGGAGGCAGTCAACCTTGGAGTTAACAGTCGACACAATGGGGAAGTATTTTTACTTAGAGGACTTTATCTGTCATCTCTCCTGTCTTTAAATGTTGCCCAGAGTGTAACAGGGGATTCTTCAATAACATCTTAATTAAGAGTTAGTAACTTGGTTTCTTGTACTCTGCCTTTTGCAGATTTAAAAACTGACAGTTCTATGTTTATGTCTGGGGAAATATTTCTAAGAAGGTATTGTCAAGGAGAGAACTAATTTACATTAGAATAAATGAAGCTGATTGTTTAAATCAAACTATATTTTGTTTTCTTTATTTTTATGGAAATCTTTCTAAAGTGTACAATTGTAATTCATGCGTATATTGGCAAACAGGCATGCTATATGTAAAATAAACACATAACATATCTAGTCTTAGAAGAGTGGAAGATCATGAAAACTTTGACTCTCAGGAAAACTTAGTTAATTTTAGTAACATATTCACATTAATTTCCTCCTCTTTTGCTTCTTTATTTTCTTATTCTTCTTTTTAAACTTTTTTATTGAATTAGAAAGTGAATTGAGGAGAAAAAAGCTGTAAAATACAGCTACTCACTTGGAGAAAATGATTAATGTTAAACACATGCATGTAGTATCGCAGTAAAATTCGGTGGAAGCATTGAGGAAGGTAGTTTAATACAGTGAAAAGAGAGGGCTTTGGACACAAATACAGATACGGTTCTTGACTCCATCCCTCTCTAGCACTGGACCTTCAGCACATCATTGAGCTCTGTCTGATCTTCAGTGCTCATACATTCACAATTGGGATCATAGTAACAAACTAACAAAGTTGTTAATAAAGCATCTAGATGAACAACAAAATGCTATTATGGCTTTATTCTTTAGTTCATTCATTTCACCATAGCCTGTCTGGGCGAGGCTCCCACATAAAGGGAACCTGTCTACTTTGACGAATCCCTGTCTCTGTGCACCATTAACTCAATTTTAGGTAGCAGGTTGTTGCCCATTTTGGTTCAGCTGTGATAGTTTAAGAACGTTATACTCGACACATATTTTACATTTTTAAGAGATCAGATCCTGAAGATAGCATTTAACTATTTAGACACAGGATGAATCTATATTGTTGATGAGCATGAGTTTTTAAATTCCATCATCTGAAGAAAATAATGTGTTCTTTGTGCCACTTAGCTTATTCACAGTAGCTACTAATTGATTATAAAATACAACTTCTAAGAAAACCACAGGACACAGGGAAGTGTGCATTGTCAAAGTCAGTGAGGGATGTTAACAGTTTCACAGTCACAATGCCATTTGTTTCTTTCTGAAAATTCAACAATGGATTAAGGTCAAAAAGAGCAGTAAAACCATCTCTGCACCAGTTAAAAGAGAATTTTGCTGTTTTGGTGAGGAAGAAGACTTTCCTCTGCCCTCCTAGGTTCTTCTGGCTGGTGTAAGAATTGAATTGACATGAGACAGTTTAACAGGAAAAAAATCAAATTTAATTTCGTAAGCCTTGGACCCCTATATTCAGGGGAGGGTCAGAGACAGAAAGGTAAAGGAGGTATATGTCTTGCTATCCTGAGCTAAGGAATGGGGAGGGGCCCGAGACTCTCAAGACAGGAAGATGATTCACAGGACAGTTTCAAAAGAACAGGTACTGAGTAATTAGATGTCTGCCCTGCCATACAGATGAGGCCATTTAAATGAAATTCTGGTAGTAACACTTTTTCTGGGAAAAGTCCCCAGTTTAAACCCTTGTAGGAAGTTAAGGAAGGGGACATAGTTTCCTTGAGCCTGTGGCGTCTCTATTGCCCTAGCTCAGACCAGCCTTTGGTAATACTATATTAAAACCGTGTTGTAACCCCATCCATGTCTGTTTCATTCATCCCATTTTTCATAACCATCTAAAGATTTCCATCCTGCTGGAATGAGTCCCGAGGCTCTTCCCTTTTGATTCCTCTTTGTTCCACCTCTTTCAATACTTGCTTTATTTACCTTATTTCTTAATAACCCTTTAAAAAATTTCACCTTGTTGGGAAGAGTCCCTTGACTCTACCAGCAACCTCTTCTCATTATCTTGTTAATTAACCTAATGTTTTTAGTAGCATCTGTAAGACCCATGAGGGAAAGCTGAGACTGCTTCCTGAAACTTTTTTTTTTAATTAGGGGAGTTAAGACTAGTTGTTATATTTCTTTGCATCCACTTTTTAATTTGGTCTTTACATAGGTACCAATAAAACACCTGTTTAAGATGACAGCTCTCTAAAATGTACTAATTTAGTTTTTCCATTTCCAAGGACCCATCATCTGGTCATTGGCAATCAACCTTTCTATGGCTTAACCGTAGGTACAAGAACGGTCTCTAAAGGAGAGTACAAAAAGATGCAGCCTTCATAAAGAGCCAAAAAGTTCACCCCTAAAAATAGTTTAAGAAAGCAGCAAACTTTGTTGCACTGACAATAAAGATGATGTGCTGCCAGCACTAACAAAGCAACAAAGGTTAAGCTGAAAAAGGTCCCTTATGGACTGAGACCTTTATGACAAACCCCCCTGAGAACTGGCATGCCTGGGCAGTGGTGCCAGTCAGAAGCTCGGGTTGTTACCTGTACTTATGACCAGCTGGCTACAGCTGCTCTAAATCCTAGTCTATTTGACTGACTGGTAAGTGCATGTGGGTACACAGATCTTGCAGATAGCAAACACGAGAGAGAATATTCTCACTGGTCATAAAGCCAAACAAGCTTTCAGGACAGAGAACAAGACAAAAGGAGACAGACAAGGAAAAACAGTGACCATCTCTGGGATGAAATGGCTCACTAAAGCCAAGAGTATTCTGCCAAATTGGCCAGAGTCACTAAGTCTAAGGAACTAGCTCTCCAAATATTTTCTCCTACTATATAAATTTTTTTTAAAAAGAGAAAAAAATAGAAGACTCTTACCACTTGTCAGATGTCCCAGTATTGCTCAGCTGCAGCAGCCTCGGCGGGGCGGAGTCCAGCCAGGGAAGTTTATCTCACCAACTACACCAGCTGTCAGGGAGGGAGAAAACGTTCCTCTACTCTTCTAGGTTCTAAGAATTCAATTGACAGAAGATAGATTAACAGGGAAAAGTCAAATTTAATTTCATACATAAGGGAATTCCCACACACACAGGAGGGTCAGAGACTTCACAGACATGAGAGGTTCACAGACACAAAGGTGAAAATGAGCTATGTATTGCCTTCCTGAGCTAGGGAATGGAATAGGGGCTGGGGCTCTCAAGGTCAGGGGCATAAGTCACAGGACAAAAAAAAGAGAAGCAGGTATTTGGTAAGTAAATGTTTGCTCTGTCATGCAGATGAGGACACTTAGATAAAAATTATCTCTTACAACAACTCCTTTTCTGGGAAAAATCCTCAATTTCTATCCTTGTAGGTCGTTAAGGGTAGGGCAGTCTTTTGTCTTGAGCTTGTAGTCTTGACTGACTTTAGCTCAAATAATCCACGTGCCAAAATGGCGCATCTTGGGGGGTCATGTTCTGAACCCCGACGCTTTAGCCATACAGGAAGAGCCCTTCTGAAGTCATAGGTTAATGTTCTCTGAACAGTCACGAATTGAAATCTGTAGCATTATGTAACATTCAAACTCTTGAAAATAATTCCCCAGTGCCTTAGGATTAGATTTCTTAATACCATTTAGTGACTTTCTAGTTGATTTCATAATTTATTTGTAATTTATTTCATCTACCTATAATGATGATTTTTGAAGTTTTGTTGCTATAATATATAAGAAATTGAAGAATATGTAGATTGATATTCCCAGTCTGGGGGGTGGAATGGAAGAAGTTGGAGAATGGAAACCAGTAATGGTATGTCCATTGTTTCATGTAATAAATCATAGAAAGCTTCCTAAGTGACAGAAGGAAAAGTAATAATATTATCTTTGCCACCAAAGACAATACAGATGATAAAGTGAGAAAAGCACTAAATATGGCTTGCATTTTGAAAAATAAGGAAGAAGAAACAAGATTTAATCTGGGCATATTAATTTAGAAAAAATGCAAGTGATCAGACTTTGACTCTGACTGACAATTGCAGAAGAAAACAATTCCTGCCAAGTTTATTGCTCTGCGTGTATCCAGTATTTAGAAAACATTTGTGCCTCCATCTGTTTCTGTTTGGGATTAGTGGAACACCTGTTATTGTTTAGTTAGAGTTCATTATTAATTATTGGTAATGAGTTTTTAAAACTACAGTTTGACTTTTTCCTCTGGGATAAAGTATTTTCTTCTGTATAATATTGTCCCACCCTCAAATGTAACCCAAATTACAGTTCAAATTTGAAAAATATTGTTAAGTGTGCTGACACCATAGCATAAGGCTCATGTTTTGCCTTTTTATCCCATCACATAAAATACTTCTAACTAAAATAGCCTTAATTTTTTTTTAGCTATCTGAAGATGAACGAACATGCACACTCCTATGGTTAGTAATGATGTCCACCTCAATTACAGAGACCATCTTAACTAGGGAGCGTAAACTGTAAGGATCAGATTAATTTGTTGTATCCAGCCAAAACTGTTTTATATTGATTCACCCTATATTAAGTCAAAAAAATAAGAAAATTCTATTCAATCCTAGAAAGTTAGTGTATGCTATTGACTAGAGCTATGAGCAACTGGAGTAGACATATGTCTACAATGTGTAATTTTAGGGATATTATAGACACTGAAGAGCTCCTTTCTTCAAGAAATACTTTCTCTGCTGCCATTCGATGACCTAATAACCCCACCATTGTTCGCCTCAGTGTGTAGATAGTCAATGTAATAGGATGCATTTTAAATACCCCCAGACCTACTTTAGGGAGGAAGGAGGGAAAGAGGGAGGGGATGAGGGAGAGAAGATGGAGAAAGAAAGAGAGAAAAGGAGTGAGATCTTGTCTTCCCATGCAGGGCATCCTGAAGCTGGTGACCTTCACTTTCCCCCTGGGGCTAAAGTAGTCTAGTTGTCATTTTCTTATAAGAGAATTATGAAAATTGGTTAAAGTCAGCATTGGTTGCAACACTGAGACTCAATTTACAGTGTTTTGTGGGGTTTTTGTTTGTTTGTTTGTAGAAATTGATAGTACAGATGGTCAGGATAGAACCCTTTAGATTTATTCATCTTTATCACCCTTCCAGTAACTCCAATTTCCTTTTCCATACTTTGTGGCTAAGCACATTTTTCTTAAGCGACAGCCTACCGATGGTTTCATTCATTTAGGCAGACTCTTTAAAAGAAACATCATCATCTTGCTAGGCATTTTCATACTCCCTCTTCATCAAGTTCCACTTGGGCCAAATAAATTGCATGCAGTGCTGGGCAGAGTCAACTGAGTTAAACAAGAGACACATTTCTATAAGTAAGAAATCACATGGCTCACAGAGCTCTTTATACTCACTAGATATAGAAATCAATTTAAGTGTCCAGTACAAGGACCAGGGCTAGTGTGATTTTGCTTAGTAATTTTAACACTTTTTTTTTTCAGCTTTTCATCTGTGTAGCCATTATGATTAAACTTCAATACAAGTTAAAAGTTTATCCCTTAAACGTTATCCCACTATTGAAATTCCAGCTACTCTCTGACTTTTACTTGAGCCAAGAATTTATGTCAAGGTAATTTATTCTACTTTCTGTGTCATTTATTCTCCTAAAATTGAAGGTATTCACCTATCAAAACCTCTGACTATAATAAGGTATACTTTGGCAGCTGGTATTCCAATTCTATGGGTTTTATGTCCATAGCTAGAAAAAGCCTCAAGGAATAAGTTAGTACTCTTATTTTATTAAGATCCTTTTCTTGAACTTCAGTGGTGCTTAACTGCATTTTTGGTTTGATCCTGCTGAGAAGAGGTCAAATGTAATTGCATTATAGTCACTGTTATTTAATGGTTTAATCTAATGTATTTCAGAACTCAATCAGCCATATTGGAGAAGACTAGGTAAAATTTAGTCTTGCTTTACTCTTCCCCCTCAAAATCCTGCTTCTAAAAAACATACTCACTTTAGTTCCAAACATCTAATTATTTTCACAAAAGCTTTGGGAGTTTTGATGTTTACTCAATAAGCATTTGTTGAATCCCCTCTGTAAGCTGATAATCCAGAAAAGAGATAAGATGTAATATAAATAATTTTATAACTAAGAATAACTTGATAGGTATGCAATAAAGGTTCAGAAAATGTACATGCTAATCTCAGTATACTAGGAATAAATAGTTATCTCCACTTATCATTTGGACCTTTTCATGTTTTTTTAATAGTTTAAATTGTTTAAAACTGTTTACAGAAGTAAGATTAAAGGAACAGTGAAAACTGTGATAAAAACTTAAACAAAGTTAAATGTTTACTTCATCAATTCCCTGGTTTTGAAGGTGTATATACTCTAAATTGGAAACATTTTCTAAAAGGAACAAAACTACTCAACAACTATCATGCATAAACCTGCAATGTATCCACCTTGTAAATACCAGTTCCAGATTTCAAACACATCTTTAATACACTCTAGGGTATTATTACTTCCAGTTCTTTCAGAACTTGCTTCATCAAAATGGAACAATTTAATTTTTGAAAATTTTGATGGTTCATGATTTTGTTGAAGAGGATATCATCTTCATTTCATATCTGTCAAATATTTTTTATTTTAAGATTTATGAGCATTATTTAGAATGATAAATCCAGTCATTTTAAATTTATACATTATTAATTG